AAGAAAATGAAAAATTGAAGACCAGACTCAGGACCATCGAAACACAGGTAAGTTGCCTGTAATCTCAGATGCTTAATGATGGTTACATATTTTAAAATATCTAAATAAGAATCCCATGGTTATCATTCTTACGTTTTCAGTTAAAATACATTTCTGAGGTTTTAAATTTTCAATGTATTGCAGGCTACTGCTGCCCTAGATGAGAAGTCCAAGCTGGAGAAGTCACTGAGGGATTTACAGATGATCCAAGGAGATCAGAAGGTAAATACAATTGTATCCCTCTACTCCTATTTAACACAACTGTTGCCAGTACATCATCTTGGCATGTATGGTGTGTTCCTTTTATAGCAAATTCAAGAGTTTGAGTTAGTGTTGTTCCTGCTGACATTGTCTGTTCCTGCTAGTCTGTCAGTCAGCAGGTAATCCATAACTTTAGTTGATGTTATAATGTATTCAGGAGCTATCAGGAAGTAGTATTCCAGAATTCAGGTATTAACAGACACAAATGTATGTCTCTTTGTTTCTTCACGTTTAAGAGTGATACCTAACCTGGTTTTTAGAGCAAGAATAAGACACTAATTCTTTCACACATTTGTCAATTGATGTTGACATGAACAAGCCAGACTTGCTGCTTCTTTGATGTTTTTGTAGTTTTCCCTATATCAGTATACCTAAAAATATTTGACCGTTTATTTTTATTACTTGAGGTTCTTAATCTCTTTTGTAAATGAGGATTCCAGCATGGTGAGCTGCTGCTGGCAAAAAAATGTAAGAAGCCTCAAGTCATCTTGACACATATGAATCTCTTCAGGTCACCTGAATATTTTTCTATGTTTCTGCCTTTATTTGTCAATAATTAGTATTTTTCAAAGTTTGTTTATATGTAATTATGTCTTAAATTTAAAACATTTCAGTTCAGACTTTCAAGAAAATTAGAACACTTTAATCCCATTATTTTGAGTAATTAAAAATTCCTGCAATATTTACAGATCAGGAAATAAGCTTCAAGATAATAAAGCATTTCTATTTTAATTTTCCTATTTTAATCCTGATTTCTTTTTATTTTGCTTTCTACCTGGTTTATGGTATGTATTTGGTTTTCTTAATATGTTAAACATTTACCTTGTAGCTTTCAAAATCGTATTCAATAATATTTTTAATAGGAACTTGATTAATCAGTCATAGCAAATATTTTCTTTCTCTGTTTTGTTAAACTTTAAATTATTAACGGTTTAAAATATTAAAGGGGTGTATTGAATCCTGGATAATACTGTTTGTAGTGTTAACAGCTGGAAACAAATCTCATCCTGCTTTTCTGGTTAAATATGAATTGGCCTCAGTGTCAGGGCTGCTGTGTATCTTCTGCTTTCATGTCCTAATTTGCCCTCTGTTATCTGTCACTTTCTCCCAGTTGCTCATAAAGCAGTAGATTTCAAACTCTTTGAATGAATAAATGACTACCAAACCACAATTGGTTCTTAAGGATCAACTCAGCAGATTGATTTTTTTTTTTTTAATTAATAGTTAACAGATGGCTCCATATATAAAGTGGGAGTCAAAGTAACTGGGAACACTTCCAGCAGTAACTGGGAGTTACTGCTCTGTTGGATCAGTTTAATTTAAGGATATAGAATTTCTGCATAATTGACTTATGTCATGGTTAGAAAATAACAATTAAAATGTACAAAATAACAATTAAGATGTACAAATGGATGTAGTGCTTTTCAACACTGCAGCCTTGGACTCTGTCCCAGAATTCAAAATAAGCTTTTCTTCTGTACAGGTATTACTATCAAATGGTTTCCTGTTCTCAAGTCTTATGTTCCAGATAGAAAAAGGAACATGGATTTCTTAGGTTTTAGATTTTGTTTTTAAGGTGCTTCTGGTTCAGCCTCATTACACTTTTGAGTTTGAAATTGGGCTTTAAAACCTGAGAATGTTCTGTGTTTAGTTTTATTTAAATGAAAACCCATAGAACAGTTACACAACTATTATCTTTTATGACTCCGAGGTGATGTTCAGAAACGTTTGAGTTGATTCTTCTCGTAAGGAAATGGGAAAGTTGCTTCACAACTTGGAACCTCTTTGTGTAAGACACATGAGAACGGTGCAATGTTCGTACCTGGCTGAGAGTGTGAGCCTTAACACTTTCAGCCTTTCCTACCCATCCTACACTAACAGCTTTGGAAATGTTTCAAAAACACATTCTAGCATAGACATTCAGATCTTAAATGGTGGTTTACTGTTTCTGTATGGTAAATAATTTCTTTTAATATGATTCATCCTCTGGCTCTAACTAATTTATAAAGAAGCGAAGTACAGGAACTTAAAATCTCATCTTGGCTGAGAAGACATTCCAGCCATCTTCAAAAAGCATTTATTAACAAGTTTTTAGGTTATAAATCAGTCCCTGCTCTAACTTCTTTTTTTAGATGAAGCACTTCTCATTTAGGCTCTACAGGAGTAACTTGTACATCATTATTAAAAGTGAAGACGTACCTACTTTGTGTGGAAATTTGCACTTAAAGTTTTAATTATTTCTTTGCTTGAATTTGACATATTTTAAATATTTTTTCTGTTGAAGAATAATGCAAACCAGGATATCACTGAACTGGAGAACAAAGTGGCAGCTTTGAAATCCCAGTTTGAGAAGACTTTGAATGACACTACTGCAAACCAAAAATTCTTGGAAGAAGACTTGGTGACAACAAAACATGATTTACTGAAGGTTCAGGATCAGCTATCCACAGCTGAAAAGGTTAGCATTTTATTGTAATGTGAAGATGCATTCCTTACTCACATTTTAACTGATTAGTAATTTAACAAGCACAAGCTACAGGATGCAGAGTTTACCAGGCCACACTTTTGCCCTTGTATTTTTCATATTTCAGTGGAAAAGCACATTAAACATAAGATAGTAAACCCACAACTAACTGCATGGTTATAACTAGATGAATATTTAAAAAGTGACTATTTATCTCAATAGATATTTTATAAATGAAAAGCATATTCCCAGTCTTCTGAAGACTTTTAGCTTGATTTTGTTAGCAAATGAATTCGGGGTATCTGTGGCTGGGATCTCATTTGATTCTACCACCTGACTTTATCTAAATCTGAGTAAATTATGGAAAACTAGTATTGCCAAACTTGAGGAGGAAAAGCAAGTTGTTTTTAAAAAAATATTTTTGTCTAGTCTTCATAATATGTAAATAATAATTTGATGTTATTATGTAGGAACTGGAGAAGAAATTTCAGCAAACAGCTGCCTATCGCAACATGAAAGAGATTCTCACCAAGAAGAATGAACAGATAAAGGATCTGCGTAGAAGACTTTCCAAGTAAGTAGTGCTGCCCTGTCTGTCCCAAAAAGATCCTTGTTCTGGATCCATGTTCTGCTCCCATTTTGTCTCTAAAACAGTCTATACATTTTTCCCTGAAAAGAACTTCTAATAGGCTATGCCCTGATTTTTGACAAACCAGTCCTTTAAATGGATGTCTGGTCTGGTTAGGGCTGGTGTGTGCAACAGCAGCTGCCTTGTGGTGAGTAATGAGAGAATTTAGTATGGAGAGCATACAGGAGATTCATGGCTGTGGTAGATAATGCCTCAGGTGCTACACACAGAGATACAGATGGGAGATGTTCCAGGTGCTTCGGCAATGGTTTGGGTTTGTGGGTAGATCATTCCTTCATTCTACTATTTGGTAAACTGGCCAGTTTTAAAAGGAGAAAATAGTCTAAAAAGTAAATGCATTTGTCTGTGGTTTAAGTCGTACAGTAAATCTTGACAGAAATGTGTCACTCTTGGATGCAATTTATTGCTTTATTTTCTTTAGAGACAAAATGTCTTTGAGGTATTTTCTAGTCTGTTTTAATTATTTTTTCTATTTATTCTTTTTTAATCCTCAGATATGAGTCAGAAGACTGAAATATCAAAAAGCATCTGATCTATCAGAAGTTGTCATGGAAAGAAAATGTAGGCTGGTATTATTTTTCAATAATTTTTGTTTTGAATGGCATATTCTTTGCTTCTAGTGTTTAAAATAACTCTATTAATATTAATTTCACACTGAAACTCTTACCTTACTTCCTTGTAAACCTACAATTTATAGGTATTCGTTTCTGCAGTCATGTTTTTAATGGTTAACCATTGACATTCCTTGAGAGATAGCAAACAGGAACTTGTTGAAGAACTGAGGACATTCCTTACAAAAAAAAAGGAGTCTATTTTTGTTAAAAAAAGGGGGAAAAAAGACCAAAAATATATGCATTAGAGTTTTTGATGTCTTCAAGGTGGAAACTCCAGTTGTTACTTTTGTGTAGTTAATGTAGTTATGAAGTAGCATTATATGTAAAAATTGCATCAGTGAAAGAGTGTAGGAGGAACAAAAAAGAAACGCTGATTCTGTAATGTTACTTCACACTGGACATGTCATACTTCATCAAAGTGTGGTCAGTAGCATTTTTCTGACAATGTTCATTAGATAGTGAGATAAATATGCTTTATACCCAGAGTGCTGGACTCTTTCAAGTAAAGTTGTACTTTTTGACTTTAATTGATTTAAAGAAAATTTGAACATCAGAAGATGGATTCTGATTTTGCCAGTATTCTAAATATTGAGATGATAATCTAAATATGCATAGGAAAGTTAGTGGAGCAACGTTTTTGGGAGTAAAGTTATTTTAGATGTTTTCATCTCCTTTCTTAATGTAACCTCACCAGAAAACAGCTTACTTCTCTCGAGTCTTCTACTTGTAATTCTCTGCCTTGCATTTGTTTGTCAGTCTCCTAATAGTGCATTCTACTTGTTCATCTGTCTGTGTTCATATGTATCTTGTATTTTACTTCAAATAAAATAGTATGTTTTCAAATATTTAATCTTTAAGGAGCTGGGTTTTTTTAATAGAAATGTTTTGTATAGCTATTTTTTTAATATCTGTAGGACTGGGTGGCAGATCAGTAAAGAATCTTGTTAGAAATGAGAACATGTAAATTACAGATTCGTGTTCAAAGCCACGTCACATCAAACAGCTGTAAAAGAGGGTACCAGTGACAGGGCTGAGGGTGTTTGTGTTACAGAAACTGGCATTTAACAATGTTTTTCTCAGGAGATGCTTGAACTGAAATGGATCTTTTTTCCTCATTATTTCTTTAACAAGCAAAGCTGTTAAAATCGCTTAACTCAAATCTGCCATACACTTGCAGTCTGAGTTCTTTTTTCTCTAAGTTTAAGTTGTCATGTTTTCTGTAAGTTTTCCTGTCTTTTGCCTCCCACTGGTTAAGTGAAGTTGGTTTGAGATAAAGTCCCATGCCTGTGGCAGGATATTATTGCTGCAGCGCAATAGTGGAGTGTTGTGGGATGGCATCCTCCTCATGTGGTAATAGTTAAGATAATGAAAGGGGTTTTTTTGCCCCTTGTACAGTCACTAAAATGTTAAGTTCTTAATAGGCATGTACCAAAGAGCTTTTTGGCCTTGTTTGCTCAGAACAACATGAGTACTTGTCTGGATGAATGTTGTGGGTTTTGTCTTCATAATAACTCTCACTTTAATGAGCTCAATTACCATTTCTAAAATGGCAGGTAAAGGGTGAAGAAAGCCAGAGATTCTCATGACTCCTGCTGGTCTTCTCATCAGTCTTTGACTCCAGAATATTGACTCTGTGATCAGCCTTCATTATCTGCTTAGAGACCATCTCAGCAAGAATGTACACTGTCAGCTTCAGTATTTGGCTAGGTCTCAGTAAAATTAGTTGGCTGTAGACAAGCATTGTTACACACCTTGTTATCTCCTCAAATGAGTAAGGCAAATCTTGTGAAGAACTCTGCCGTGCAAAATTGAAACTCAGACTTTGATTTCCTGCCTTGCAGATTGCCAGTTTAGTGAGCATGTGATCACTGAGATGCTCGCTTTTTGTACTGCAGAATGGCTAATTAAAAGTCTTGTGTGGAGCTGTTGATGAAAAATACATCATCATTGACAGGTGATGTACCTGTCAAAGAAAACCTGGAGCATTATACAGTTGTGATCTTTTTTCTTGAGATAGGTACAATATTTTGAAGATGGAAATGACATCTGAACCTCTCCTGACAGTGCCTGCTGTTTCTAAAACTTCACTTCTTTCCCTGAGGTGTAAATTCTAATACTCCTTTTAGCAGCCTGTGTTCTTTGTACTGCTCAAATAGACATCATCCATTTCTTCCAGTTCGGTTGTTAATTCACTAGGTATGCCTGAAGGGAGTGTTTAAAAAGAAAATTCCTGTATGACTAGCTGGTCTGCAAAAATCAGATCTCTTTCAGGCTGGTTGGGGTTTGTTTTTTGGTTTTGTTTTGTTTTTTTCTTGCAGGCTGAAGAATATGGGAATGAAATCTAGGCATCTCAGCTTTGCTAGTGCTAACTCTGACAGCAAACAACCTATGCTCCAACAGTGACTTCAGTAGTTGTTAATAAATGAGACAGCAGTCCTGCATGTTGCCATCCTAATGAGACCATATATTAACCAATGATTTTTAACTGTTCATAAAGTACTCATTAACCTGTTTTTCTCTTGTGCCTAATAGCCATTTAAAAAGATGCCCTAAAGTGAATACTAATACCTACATTGACACTTAAGCTGCAAGCACAGCTTGTTTGGTATTGAGACTGATATTTTGAACAGCTGAAATTTGGACATTTGGAAATTTGGACTTGCTTTTGGGAAACGCAGTCATCTGCCAGGAACTTAGATTTCATTCCAGCCAAAACGTTTGTAAGATTCCTTAGTTTGATTTCCCTCTTCTGGCATTATCAAGGACAGGTCTTGACTTCTGTGTGATATGAAATGCTGTGAAACCACAGTGAAATCTTTACTGCTTCAGGAAGCAAATGTGAATCAAGTTGGGCTATCAGGCGGCTGAATGGATCAAGCTTAAAAGGTTTGATCTGGTCTAGAAGAATGTGCCTTCTAAACATTCTGAAGTAATTTGAAGGTTTGTATATGAGCAGGTAAGAATTGTTACCATAGTTATTTTTGTAACTGACTTTGAGCAGTTACAATATGCCTAGGGAGTTACCCTGTGATTGGTAATTTTGACGACGTCCCAGGGAAAATGTTGTCCCAGGATTCCTGCCCTGCTCTGGCTGCCCACAGACTCTCCCTGAAGACATCTATATGTGCCCTCCTTAGCAGGGTCTCCTCTTGGACATATCCTGACACATTAGGCAGCTTCTTTGGAGTCAGCTCTTCTCCAAATAAAGGTGGGCAGGTACATGTCATTCTGTTTCAACAGGAAGTTTTGCTTGTTAATTATTTTAAATTATTTTTAGGAACTTGTAGTGCCTTGGGAGTGTGCAGGGCTGTGGCAGGGCAGCTCATGACTGACAGCTGCTGGTGAATAAGAGAGCTGCCCAGAGACCTCCCCAGACTGCAGGCAAGCTTTAATGAAGAAAGTGGCAATTGGCAGGTGACAAGCAGAAGAACTGATTGAATGATACAGCTATCTTTTAGTGACATGCCAGTTTCTGACTCTCGTTTGATACAGGTCAGTTTTGAAGTCTGAGTGAATTAGGTGCAATTCTATGAATCCAAACTTTATGGAATGAGTACCCTAAAAAATCACACATTCAGAAGATGGATAGAGCTGTGATGCTAAGGAAAGGCAAAAAAAATATAGAGAGAGTTTTGTCAGGCATGCTTTTCTTGGGAGGTTAAGTTAAGCAGTTTTAAGGGTGATTGAGAGGCTGGAAATGACTTCAGGGTACAGACCTTAAAGACATCATCTACAGTTTGGAACTAAGCAGCAAGTAGTAGTGATAAACTGGAAGGAATAATTGTAATCCTAGTAACTGCTTAGAAGAGTAACTGTTACCTCCAATTACACATAGAGCAATTGCCCAGCAGTTGTCATGTCCTATGAGTTGTCAAAGATCCAGATGGATTCTTTCTTTCTCCTAAGGTAAGGAAATAGGCATCTTAGGGTAGCAACTGTCAACAGTGAATCCCAACAGAAAACCCATATGTGGAAGCTTCTACTCCCATGTCTGCATATCTGTTTCTCTTGGCAGCATCAGTAAATACATGCAGAGGCTGCAGACACTCCATGACTTTGCTTTGATTGTCATCTGACATACCAGCTGTGTTTGCATTTGGAAGTGAGTTCCTCAAGGAATTGAAGATACTAAACACCAGAGCAGGTGACACTTTGTCCCCTTCCCTCATGTCTGGCTCATCAAGGAAAGCCCAGAGGGTTTATTTTTAAATCTCAGAGGTATAGTGATGCGTGTTAGAGGTAGCATAATAAAGGACCAGGCTACCTGATAGAACTTCTTCCCTTGTTTCCATGACTTTTGCCAATTAAACTATTAAGCTTCTCTAACACCTTGAAATCATGGTCCCCAACCTGTTGTTAGGACCCCAGGTTCCCTTTTTGTCTGCATTTTAGGTAGCTGGGTGAGGCATGTGGCTTTTCACTGTACTGGCATCAAGAGACACAAGACCAGCGTTTTTAGTTGATACCTTCGCCTAAATACTTGAGGTTTTGCTTCAGTGAGAAATGGGATTCTTTGCTTTGTTTTATCAGCTTCTGACTTGGTTTACCTAGGGCAGTTCTACTGGGCAGTCCCATCAGTTCCTGGTCTGCTGTGCAGATGAACCCCTTCCATTCTCAACCACTCTACTAAACCCCACATTTCAAATTTGTTAGGTACTGGGAGAAAAAATTATTTCTAATCCTTTTTTAATATGAGAAGTGACACGATCAAAGTTTCTTGCATATGTCTATTAGAGGCTTGTCTTTGTCCCTAAAGAGAAAGCCCAAGCCCTACACTAACCCTAATTAAAGCAGTTCAAAGGAGATAAAATCATGAACAACATCAGAAATAGCATATTGATAATCTGAGGTGTGTGTACGAAGTCCCACAGCAAGAATTCCTACGTGTTGTCTGTTTAAATACATTTAAATATATTTAAAGTGTGTGTCCCAAGGAGCCAGTAGATGACAGGCACTTGGCTGGGTGCCTATGTGCATGACCACCTTAAAAAAAAAAACTCACAGTAGTCTGTGATCTGAGCTACTGATGAGACTGACATGTGTGAGAGAGGCAAGGATTCATCTCATTCCACCTGAACTTCCTGATCTGGCCTGACCCGAGGTGAGGATGTCACACCTCTCTGCCTGCACAATCTCCTCCAGTCCATTAGTAAACTAGTTTGAAATGTAATGGGAAGGAGGTACAGAGCCAAGGAAATCTTTAACTTGATGATGCTCATCAGTAGGAGTAATCTATTCACACGGAAGCAACCCCAGTGGTAGTGATGTGCTATTTTTTAAGGCTGTTCTGTCAGTAAATTATTTAATACTGTAAGCTATTTATACACATCATTTATAATAAATCCCACTGCCAGGGACAGGCATTTGACTTTTTAATAATTTGTGAACGTTTTCATGATACGAGACAACTCACATTCTCTCTGTGTGTGTTTCAGTTTAAGCTTATGGATTTCAAGTTACCTTGGATTATTCCTTCCAGCAGAATTCTGGGTTATACTGATAAGACATATTGCCAGGGCTAGCTGGCATGTTGCAGTTCTGCAGGTAAGACAAGAACTGCATGGATACTGCAAAAAAAAAAAATCACAAACTCACTCAAAACTATACTACAGGCAGCTTTGGCAAACCCTGATGTTTTCCAATGAGAACTTACATCTCTAGCACCACTAAAACACACCCCAAAGAATGGATGCACTTATGGGAGATGTGTAAACCTCTTGCCATCACCTGCTTTAGCAGACAGAAAAGCGGTATCCCACTTTGTGACTTTGGTAATACAGGTGGCTTGTCACTGAGTGCTGCTGCTGGGCTCAGCAGCACTGCATGACACACTGCAGTTCAGGCTCCTGTCCAGAGACCCCAGAGTTGGGAGTTCTCATCCATACCCACAGCTGGAGGCTTTGGCTTGGCCAGTGCCCAATGGGATGCTGGAGCAGCACACCCAGAGCTGGCTGGGACCAAATTCCTGGCGCTGGAGGAATGAGACTGACAGCAGCTGAGTGAGTCATATTTGTAAAATGATCCTGAAAGGTGCCCTGGAAAAAAACATTTAATCAGAGGAAGGAAGCTGAGTCCCTGGAGCTGCTCAGCTACTTTTTGTTGCTGCAGACACTGCTGGCAGCCTCCTTCACTGGGAGGCCTGTCCAAAGTGGTTGAGCTCAAAGTGTACCTTGGCAGGGGCCCAAACACACAGGGTTCATGTTCAGACATGGCACCTCAGTGTGCCTTAAGACAACCCAAAGGCCCCCTAGATCCTTCTGCCTCCACAATGGTCACAGGCACCTTTTTCCACTGGCCTTTGTTTTTGGTCCCTGCTGATTTGAAAGTATTTTAAAATGGCAACCCCGCAGAAAAGTTCACCTGCAGCAGTGGGGTTTGAGCATGAAGGTAAGTGAAAAGAGACTGGCTGTTTCACACTGTCACACACATGCAGACTATGTAGAGGGAAAGCATTATTCCAGGAGGGTCAAACTGGAGTGTTGTTAAGTGTGCACCAGGCTGGGGACCTGCAGGGCTGATAGGACTGTTTCAAGGCCACTTTTGGAACTAGGGAGTGTGCTGAGTTGGTTGAGGTGCGCACCAGGGCACAGTGATAGGATGTCTGAGGATTCTGTTTATTCTTACCCTAAAAGCACTGACAGTCTCTAAACCCAGTCTCAATTGCGTGAGAACCCCTCTTCTGTGCAATAAAATTCAAGCTGGTGCCTCATGTACATGAGTGCCACTCAGTAGGAAGGGAGCCCTGTGGGGAAGGAGTGTCCCATTTCCAAAACCAAACTGCAGCCCTAATGTTATTTCCTCACAGCTTCAAGTTGCCATGTGAGTTGATAAAAATCCCTCAGCTCACATCCTTCCCAGAAATGCCAGTCAAAACCCAAGCAGCTATTCACCCAAAGTACCAATTTTATAGTTCTGTGTGTGTCTATAATCTATTTACCAGCATTCCTATTTCAGTATGTGCCTGTTAATAAGATTAGTAATTAAAAAGCTTGATAGGAATTGGCAAGCATAGCTTCTCCGCCTTTCCCTCCCCTCTGAGCCGGACTGGCGTGGAGTGTGAGGCACGGTTGGCAGAATACCTGAGGGAGGGAAGGCAGGAGGCTCTGCTGAAACCTCTGCCTGCAAGAAAGCAATGGAGAAATCCCGACCCTTATGGGACAATCCCCTGCAGTTTGTTTTTGCCTGCATTTCCTATGCTGTGGGGCTGGGAAATGTGTGGAGGTTTCCATACTTATGTCAGATGTACGGAGGAGGTAAGTGTGGTTTACATTTTCTTGCTTCCCTCGAGGAGGAATGGGGCAAGCTTTAAGTGCAAAAGTATGTTTTCCATGTTCATGCTCTGTCCACCCAGCAAGGTCCAGGGCAGAGAGGAGGTCTGGCTTTCTGTTGTTGTACAATGTGTTTTACTGTGGCTTTATTTTATGTATTCTGTAGCATTAGGCTTTTACCTGACAGCTGCCCCAGTATAGTGGCATTTGTTCCTGTAAGTGCAATGAAACAGTGAGAAGGCCCATGTTTTCTAAAAAACACTCAGGTAGAGTGAGAGATATAGATCCACATAGTATTCATTTATTATATTTTTGCCCCACTGAATCACTCAGAAGGTGTCAAAACTGTTTCATGTCTTTGTATGTTCGTTCACCTCTGGGGACTTGGAAAATATTGAGAAGGAGAGATGATTACACTGATTTAACTTAAAGATCAGCTGTATTATTTCAAGTACCTGTCATTAATATCTTGTCTTTTATACAAAGCCTTACTTTAGGAGATGATAATTTGGCTGCAAATATGCCTTGAAGTTGGCTGAAATGCCTTAATCAATAGGAGTTCCATAGCTAAAGCCTCTCAGGAACCTTTGGAAATAAGGAATAAATTGATTTGTCCTCCAAAAAGAAATAAACCAACCAAGAAAGACCCCCAAAACCCTCTTTGAAAGTTTATTCTCCTTCTGGGTCCACAGTGAAGGAGGATGATGTTTGTGGCATATACAAGCCACAGCTGTTCTTCCTTAGAAATAAAAAGTCAGTTAAGTAGACTAATTAAATACCGGTATTAATAATCTCCTCTAGTATACAGCGACCATTTTTCTGAAGAATCTTTAGAAACAGGCTCTCTGTAAGACAACCAAGTTTTTTACTGCTTCTCATACTTCATCTGTTGTCATAATTTGGGACCTGGCTCACTCTTGCATTAAGGGACACGATAAGCATCTGCCTCATCTGCTTCTGGTCTCCTTCTGCCTTTTCTTCCTTTCAGGAAGAAACACTGAGATGTTAAACAGCTTTTTGCTGTTTTTATGCTTGTTTTGTTGGCTTGTAGCTTACTTCTGAGTGCACTTGTGGTGGTAGGAGGTGGTTCATGCTGCTGTTTGAAAAGCCATCTCAGCACTGAGACTGCGTCAGAGCTATCCTGTGGGATCAGGTCAGAAAAATCCAGATAATATGGTGGATGAAGCATCAGTAGAAGATAGATGCTGCAGTGGCTCAAGCTTTCTTAGACAGTTCAGATAGCAGAAATGATAGATGTGCTGTGATTTTGCGTATATTCCCCTCCACATGCTTTAAAGGTAAGTCTTCATATCTGACACTGAACTCTAGCACAAAGCTTAAAATGTGTTTCTGTACACAGTCAAACTGCATGTGATCAGTTTGCTAGCAGCCCGTCACGGCAGACATCCTGAAGGACAGCAAAACTCGGACAGTCTGGGGGCTTTGTGTCGTTCTTTTAGCCAGCCATCTGTATTGTGGTGAAAATTCTCTGAAAGGTGGTGAAAATTCTCTAAAATGTAATACTGGAACATTTGGATAACCTGAATACAAGCTTATTTAAGCTTTCCTGTTCATTGCAGGGGCATTGGAGTAGATGACCTTTAAAAGGTACCTTCCAGTTCAAACTATCCTATGATACACCCAAGAATTTTCTAAAAAATGTATTTTATAAGAATGTTTTTCCAATATTTTTCATAATATTTTCCATTATTTTTCTCTTCACCACTTATATTTATGTGGGGAAAGGCAGCTCTTTCTACTGTGAAATTAAAATTCCTGACAGGAGGTTTTGCTTTTCTTAATTGTTTTATCCACTGCCCTCTTAAAGAGGATTCTGTGGCTTTCCAGGGTTCACAAAACCCACACATACAGAACATCGTTTCAGGAACTTAAAAGCTGGATATCCCAGGCACTGGGATTAGGGAGGACACCAGCTTTTTTGGCATTTTCCTTGTAGTAAAGCACAGAGTTAGGCCCTGTCCTGCCCATCAGGACAATTGGGCCCTTCTTGCGGATGATGCTGAGTATTTGCAACCTGAGTATTTGCAGACTTTGTAACCTGTCATTATGTTCATCAGCAGTTTGCCTCCTTCTCCTCCTTCTCCTTGCTTTCCTGCTGAGAGCACGACCTGAGCAGAGCAGGGCAGATTCAAACCTCGCAGGTGCAGCTCCTCTGTCCCTAAGCAGGCTGGGCCAGGCTCCAACGAGGCTGGGCTGGGTCTGCAGCAGGGCTGGTGCTCAGCAGCACTCAGCCCTGGGGAAGGAAGCCCCCGAGCACCAGGCAGGAGCCTGAGCAGGGGCAAGGGTGCCACTGGCCAAGCCCAGTGCCTTGAGCAGGCCAGGGCACACTGCACATTTTGCCAACTACGGGGTTCTGGCCTGTGGGCTGATTTTTGCAGACAGCTGGCACCGGAGGGAGCAAGGCCTGGTGTCAATGAGCGGGGAGTTGAGTAGAGCTGTTTTGGTTCTCCTCTTTGGGAAGAGTAGCACTAGGAGTAAGATCTGTGAGCAAACAGGATGCAGAGCAAGGGGCAGGGTCTTAGCGCTGGCGCCCCAAGCTGCAGTGGGACACTGGGGTGAAGAACAAGCCTGAAGGCATTTCTCCTCCTTGCCAGTTGGCACAGTCAATGCCAAACATGTAGCAGCACTGCTGGGAGGGTGGAAAACCTTTGCAAGGGCCTAGTGCTGATTCCCCTGTGGTACATGGCAGAGCCCCCTCAGTGGCTGCTGGGGCAGCTCGCACCCCACTGGCATGGAGTGGCTGCGGGAGCCCTTAAACCTTCGACAGCTCCCTTGTGGCATAAGAAGTTATCTAACAGACTAACAAAGGGGTTGTTAAAAACAAGAGAGCTGGGAGGTGGGAAATTAATTCCCAAAATAAACCGGATTATTGCTCTGTGTTTATTTCCAGGTCTTTGCCTCAGTCGCTGCATGGAGTTCATTCCTCCACAGTGCAGCACAGAGCCCATTGCAAGGAATGTTAATGCCACAGATTAAATCCTAAATAAGAGATATTTACGTAAATATTTTGGCTTGCTGTAAAAAGGGAAGCAAGGAAGCCTTCACAAAAATCCAGCTTTTGACTCAGTCAGCAGCTCTTTCTGAAGTGAGCCCCAGGTTGAATACAAGGATTTTATTTTTTTCTGGCAGAAATTTAAGCTGAAACACATCCTGGTTACCAGGCAGGAAGGTCCTTTTCCTTTTCTTGCTGTCAGCCTTACCATTCCTGCTGTTCTTTTTCCACAGCAGCATCTTTGTGGCTCTCCATGTGCAGGGAAGCAGGGATGAGCAGCTCCATGCAGGAGACTCAGTGCCTGTGTTCCAGTGTCTGCTCCCATTGGTGGGGCCATGGGGGAAAAGCCTTCATTCATTTGCTGGAGCCTGTGGGCTCAGCATGGGGATTTAGGAGCTTTTTAGTTTGTTTTTTTGGTTGGTTGTTTTCTATTTTTAAGCAAGGCCAGACTTCAATATGTAACTCAAAACTTTCTGTTTGACATGGACATTGCTGTTATCTTTTCTTTGAGCACTTTGACTGTGCAGCAGAGCACCCCACACTGAAGTAAATCTTTCCCTCGTCCTCTTTGTCTCATTATCAGTTACAAGGTTTGGCAGGTGTTTGGTTACCCTTTAACAGCCCCAGCCCCCAGCACTGCTCAAACCGCTCGGATGCATCTGGGCAGCGCTGCCACACAGCAGTGCTGACCAACACAGTTTAACAGCAGAAATCCCAGCCCTGCCAAGTCCCTGCGGAAAATTCCCTGCGCCCAGGCAGTCAGCGCCCACCAGCCTCCTGATGTCCTTCAGGATTGGGCTGTGTCCTCAGTGCTCAAGGTACCTGGACAGGACTAGAACTCAGACCCAGCCAGCCTCTGGGACACTGACAGCATGACTTGAACACAAATACGGCAAAGTGGTGTTTATCTTGCTGCTGATCTGCTGAAGGCTGACTGTTGGGTTTGTTCTCACAGGTGGCTTTTTGATCCCATACCTTATCATGCTGATTGCCGAGGGGATGCCGCTGCTGTACTTGGAGCTGGCCGTGGGGCAGCGTATGCGGCAGGGCAGCATCGGCGCCTGGAAAATAATAAGTCCCTACCTCTGTGGTGTTGGTATGTTCTCAGTTTCCACCTTTATTTTCCAGCACGCAGAGAACGTGGGTGATTTTATATTGGAGAGCTTTGTCTTTCAGAAAATACCCAGGTGGGAACTCAGGTTTTACTGGGTCTCTCCAGACTGAACAAAGCCAGACACCTCATGGCATGCATTTATCCTGTCCCTTGTTGAGCATTGGGGCCAGACCCCAGCTTCCTGTGTTGGGTCTGGATTCAGAGGTGTGAGTCCCCCTGCCCTCAGCCAGACTGCCAAAATCATGTTGTGAAGGTCAATGCTATACCCAGCCCTTGGGGCTGCCTACACTGGGCTTTGGCCACAAGAGCACCTTCCCAATAAGCTCAACATGAGTGATAAAATGGTGCCTTAATGTCCTACTGTTCCAGTCTACCATTTACCAATATCCACTCTTAGCTACATTTTTATGTTATTAAATTACCCTGAAAACCCAAGCTAGCATTAATTTGCATAAGCACACTTTTTTTTTTTTTAATTATACATTGAATATTCATTCCCCATGGCCTAGAGTATCAAATCCAGGTCAGGATAGTCCTGGTGGGAGGAGGAGGCAGTGATTACAGTGACAGGGATATGCCCTGTGCACATGGCTGTGCAGGGACAAAGCCTCTCCTGTGTCAGCCATGGTGGTGCTGCTCCCACACCCCACAGATGTGAAGCCCTGGGCATTTTGGAGTTTTCTGCTGACCAAGTGTCTCCCTCCATACCCACAGGAGTTGCCAGTGTTGTCGTCTCCTTCTTCCTGTCCATGTACTACAATGTGATAAATGCCTGGGCCTTCTGGTACCTCTTCCACTCCTTCCAGGTATGTGGGCTCCCAGCGGCCCAGCTTGGCTCCACTGCAGCTGCGGAGGGTCACAGTGCTGGGTTTCATTGGCGCTGGATGTTGCATGGCACCATTGTCAAATAGGAATGGGAAGGAGGAGGGATGTCAAAAGTTTCAGAAAGCCAGGGCTTTGCTGGAGGGAAAAGTGAGGCAGTGATGCATGGTCCTCTCAGAGACATTGGCTCACCATGCAATTCAGGTCAATGCCAGGCTTGTGACGCCTTGGTCACGTGTGCCTTGGTGGCAGGGTGTGCTGCATCCTGGGATGGACCTGTCTGGTGACAGGGGAGAGGTTTGGCCCCACGGTAGAGGCTTGGAGATTGTCATTCCCAGAGGAGAGGGTTAAAGAGGCTCAGTCCTTGGGGAGAGAATCAGTCTGGTCATCCCCAAGGAAGAGGGACAGAGCTGGACTGTCCTTGGGTAGGGGGTTCAGAAGGGATCATCCCCAGGGGAGAGGATCAGAAAGCATCAGTCCTAGGGGAGAGGGTGATTGCCATGGGAGATTGTCAAAAGAGACCGTCCCTAGGGGAGAGGGTCATCCCCAACCCCATTCAGAGAGAAGCAAGCCCGGGCAGAAAGCCGCCCTTGCCATCATCCTCCCGTTCCCCAGTGGCACCTTGGCTCTCCCTGCCATGCCGACAGCCCGCACTCACGCCATGCCCCTTCCTCTAGGACCCCCTGCCATGGGCCACCTGCCCCCTCAACAGCAACCGCACGGGCTACGAGGAGGAGTGTGAGAAGACATCCTCCACGCAGTACTTCTGGTACCGGCAGACCCTGAATATCGCCCCGTCGCTGGAGGCCAGCGGCAGCGTGCAGTGGGAGCAGGCGCTGTGCCTGACGCTGGCCTGGCTCGTGGTTTACCTCTGCATCCTCCGCGGCACCGCCTCCACGGGCAAGGTGGGAGCAGGCACAGGGGACGTGGGGAGGTGGCGAGGAATGGCTGCAGTTCCTCGGGGTCGTGGTGTCCCCCTTGCAACACCGAGCTCTGCTGCCCTGCCAAGTTGCAGCTGAAGCAAGATAATCAAAACACTGAGTGATACTGAAAAAATAACCCAGGGAAGTCCTCTAAACACAGCCAGCTCTCTGTTATGGCCAGTTGTCAGGCTGCTGGCCACGAGGAAAGCCGTCTGCCCCAGCAGAGCCATGTCAGGAGACGTCTATTCCTTGGTCTTTGCAAGAAAAACAAGACATCTACTGGACATTTTTTGCTTGCTTTTTATTCACAGCAGAAGTTATGAGGAAGTGGGGAGAAAAACCCCAATGTCCTGGCTGAGCCTGCACTAAGCAGCAAGCTGAGGGCTGTAATCCCCAAATCGTCTTATCCAAATACAGAAAGCCAAGAGACTATAAACTAAGAATAACCTCTTAAACTTGCTGCAACTGATTCAATTAAATTTTGATTCAATTTGATTAAATTCAAGTTTGATTTTGACCTGTTATGAGCTCTGCTTGCCTTCCTTGTAGAGCAAACATGATGATGATCATGTGATGATTACCTTTGCCTAATGAGTTTTTGACAGATGGTTGTGAACTGGTGTTATGCTACCAAATGATGTAGAACTGAGTTTGTGAATGCGGGGAATATTTTAGATTTTTTTTGATTTCCAATCTAAGAGAAGATGCTTGGAACAGTAGCACAGGTCTTCAGTAATATTAAAAACTGTTTTCCCTAAAATGTAAATCTAAAGCTAGATTTGTCTAATAATATTTCTTTAAAAAATAATACAGGATAACAAACACATTATTGGAAATTATTTATGTAAACTTATGAGACTGACATAGCAGATTAGCTTGTCTTACATATTCTTTAGACCAAGGTCTTTACCCTCTTTCCTCAGGTCGTCTATGTGACAGCCTCTTTGCCATATTGTGTTCTCATCATATACCTCATCAGAGGATTAACACTTCATGGAGCTGTGAATGGGCTTGTCTACATGTTCACACCAAAGGTACAGAAAAACTGTATTGAATTTTTCAGGAAATTTTATTGGTTATTGGGCACGTAAGTTTTTAAAGGGTCTCGGTCTTCCTTTTTTTATACTGAATTTTTGCTGCAGTAACATAGGTCTGGCAGCTGGAAACAGCTGGGAATGGCTGGAGGCTGCCATGGTGCCCATAAGCTGCTTGCTTTTTCCTGCAGAAAAACACCTTCCTGTTAGTATAACCTATTGCTTTCGGTCAGAGCAGTAACCCTGCCAAGAACACCCCTGACCTGTAATGAATGCCCAAAGGGCCCCAGCCCTGCAGGCTGGAAGGGGCAGTGCTGGGCACTTAGTGCAACTTCATGGTCTTGCTCTCTCGTCTGGCTTTTGCAGCTGGAGCAGCTGTCGAACCCCAAGACCTGGATCAGTGCTGCCACACAGATTTTCTTCTCGCTGGGCCTTGGCTTCGGCAGCCTCATCGCCTTTGCCAGCTACAACGAGCCCAGCAACAACTGCCAGAGACACGCCGTCATCGTGTCCCTCATCAACAGCACCACCTCCATATTTGCCAGCATTGTCACTTTCTCCATCTATGGCTTCAAGGCGACCTTTAACTATGAGAGCTGCATCAACAAGTAAGAGCCCGGCGTTTCACTGGTTTTCCGCTGCACGCTGTTCTGGGGCAGGTGACGGGGGAGGTAAATAAATAACAGCACACAGCACTGCCAGCACTGCCCCAAGACCAGAGCTGATACTGCTCTAATAAAGCTAAAGGAGCTATTCAAAGCGATGAAGCCTGAGATGAAAGGTCAGAGCGCTTTGCCTTTTGACACCTGGGTGCTGCTTCCAGGCACAGGCCTGGTCAAGAGGATGAATTTGCCTGGGCAAGTCACAGAGGCACTTTCCCCTGTGTTCTTGTCCTGGCCCATGCTCCAGGGAGTTTGAGGGAGCAGATTCATAAATGCAGTGATGCTCAGATCCCCTTTTTTTAAGGCTAAGCCCTTGAGTTCCAGGAGCTCAGCCTCCTTGGCTGTGATGCTCTGCAAATGCCCAGCAGCCTGCAGGATTGTGTCCTGTAGCTGCAAGCTTGCGTGCAGTCCCTGGCACAGGGCCCATGGCAGTTACACATTTACTCATATTTTTAGAGCTTTCAATCCATCTGTTGATCAGAAAGGAAATCAAGCTGGTAGTCCTTGCTTGTTGACAAAAGACTTTAAAGTTGGTGGGGTGTGAATGTGAGACCGCAGGGCAAAGGGGAAAAGACACCAGCCAGCACTTGCCAGCAGCCTAAGTACCTGCCTGGGAGCAGCAGCACAGGTGCAGGAGCCGTTCTCTCCAAGGCACAAATGAGCACAAGGTTGCCAGTGTCCCGACACTGCGCTGGAAATGATGCTCTCACCCAAGGACACTGAAGCCCTAGGACCAGCAAAGCATTCCCGTGGGGCTGATGGAGAAAAGGGATGAGATGCCCTTGGCCTGAAAGCCAATAAATTCCTGTAATACTTCCCAGGGTGATCCTGCTGCTGCTGAATGCTTTTGACCTGGAGGAAGGCTCTTTAACAGCAGACAACCTCAATGAGATGAAAGATCACCTCATGGCCACCTACCCACAGGAATATGCCCAATTAATGCCACAGATTAAAAACTGCAGCTTGGAAGCTGAGCTAGACACGGTGAGTTGCCACGCTGTGGCGTCTCCTTTGCTCCCATTGAGCCCAGACACTCCATGTGAGCTCGGGAGCTGTCTGGGCAGGGCTGGGGATCATTTCTACCCCTCAGGATGGGGCAGGGGCTCGCTTGAGTTATTAGCATGCTGTATCCGTGCTGTTGGGATAAACCAGTGAAGACCTCACCTGCCTTTGCTGTGCAAAGCCACACCTCAGGTCTGTGTTGTCATGACACAGAGTCACTCTCTTCTGTCTTATGTCCTTTATCGAGCTGAGAAGCTGCCTGTAACTCAGTTTTGTCCCCTTGTCTCCATCAGGCTGTCCAGGGGACAGGACTGGCATTTATAGTCTATTCGGAAGCGATTAAAAACATGGAGGTGCCTCAGCTGTACTCTGTGCTCTACTTCTTTATGCTGCTGATGCTGGGCATTGGCAGCATGCTGGGGAACACAGCTGCCATCCTCACACCACTGACCGACAGCAGGGTCATCGCCTCCCGCTTTCCCAAGGAGGTGATCTCGGGTAAGCACCTGCCAGGCTGCAGCACACGGTGAGCACGTGTGTGTGTGTGTGTGTGTGTGTGTGTGTGTGTGTGTGTGTGTGTGTGTGAGAGTGTGTGTGTGTGTGCAGAAGCTATGGTGTCCACTGCTATTGAGTGAAGTGCCACTCCACGCTCTGATCTCGGGTGAAGCAGGGAATAGCAAATATGCTGCTGGAAGAGTTGGCCTGCCCTTGTGAAATCCTGCAGCCCTTTCCCTTGGGAGCTCCCAAAGCACCAGGGCAGTTGTGGCTGTTTATTTCCAGGCTTCCCAACACACCCAAGCTCTTTCAGACTTGTGTCTCCCGACTGGTGAAATTCCAAGGGAGGCTACAAATAGTTGCAGCAGGTAGCTCTTCAGTCACATCACCAGTATCCCCACTATAAACCACCTCAGTCATTGGTCAAAAGAAATATGTGCTTCTCTCTGGGCATGGAAATCAGTTGTCCTACCTTAAAACTTGCTTTAGCTGGGTGCCCAGTGGCAACAGCAGATGCTGCATGCATGTGTGACAAGGCTGTAGCTAGGACTTGGTTGTGTGCTGTGACTGTGCAGGTCTAAGGAGCAGCAGTTTAATGACAGTCACACATGCAAAGGGGCAGGTCTTTTCCACAGGGGAAAAGAAAATCCTTCTCCTCAGAGAGAGCTGCTCAGCAGAAATCTCACCAGCTTGTTAGTCACAAGAAGTGTGACATTTTCCCTACGCAACTTCCAGGTATCCCTGTTTTATCCACACAGGTGTTGTGTGTTTCATGAATTGTATAATTGGCCTGATCTTTACCATGGAGGCTGGAAATTACTGGTTTGACATCTTCAATGACTATGCAGCCACCCTCTCGCTGCTGCTCATTGTGCTGGTGGAAACCATCGCTGTGTGTTACATCTATGGGATAAGGAGGTAAAAGCTGGAGCCCTGCTTCCTTCATACTGAGACAGCTTGGGGAGCAAGCCACGGGCCAGGAATAAAAATACTGCCTTGGGATAAATTTTTCTTCTGTGCTATAGGATCAGCAAGGGGATGGGGGTCTCCTCTGCCCTGCAGAGCCCTTCCGGGGCTTGTCTCAGGGCTGTGAGGGGCCAGGCTGGGCTGCCACTCTCTCTGCTGGCAGGGCAGTAAAAGAAGCTGTACACACATCTCCCTGCTCTTGTCTTTGGTCTCAGAGCAACTTCTGCCAAAACTCTGCTCCTCCCATGACAGGAATTCAGCACGAGCACAAGAGTGCCAGTAAGTTTGGTTTCAAAGGTGGTCACCTCGCACACTGTATGTCTCCCAAGTCAATCCTTGTGGGTAAAAGGAAGCTTTAGAATCAGGAGAAGTTTTGAACAGCGAAGGCGTTTGAAAATAGATGCAAGGAAATGCTTCAGCATTTGCTTTGTTAGTCTGCCAGCACAGAGGGTGTCCAGGCACATACGTGGGTGTTTCCTCCCTGATGAGTTCAAAGCCTTTGAGTCAGATCCAGGTCTCCTGTGAGATTTTAGGTACCATTCCCAGTGTCAGCACCCCCTCAAAGACAGTTGACAACACTGAGAATACTCAGATACACAAACCCAGTATTTCAGCATAATTCCTTCCTTCTGTCAGCTGACACCAGTAACAGCCCCAGCTTATGCTTCAGGCAGAACTTTCTTGCTGTACCTATTTCTAGCTCCTGTCTGCAACTTGGGATTCTCTTAGAAGCCTCACTGTCTGTTTTGATTTCCCCCTCACTTGGATTCTGGTGAGCCAGCTTTTCAAACAGTAATTCTCTGCTCATTTGTGTTCAATTGTACTCCCCTTTCTCATCTGACATACTTGATTCTCTAGGTGGTTTTTGAAGTAACTCTGAACAAGGTATTCATCAAATATCTGTAGCCAATCTCAAAAATACACGTTTGGTTTTCTTCACAAATTTTTTTTTTTTTTTAACAGATTTGAAAAAGATCTTTACACCATGATTGGATGCAAGCCAAACTGGTATTGGAAAATTATGTGGGCTTTTGTTAGTCCACTGCTTATTATAAGCCTATTTATTTTTTACCTCACCGACTATATCCTCACAGGAACATTGCAATACCAAGCATGGGATGCCACACAGGTAAATGTTTTGGGTTTGGGCTTTTTTTCTGTTTTAAACCTTAGTTCCTGCAAGGATACAAGCTTCTTTCCTAACTAAACTGTTCCACAAAGTGGCCTTCTGGAAGTGAGGAGCTGGAATCAGGGCCATCCCTTAATCTTGTGGAAAGGAAAACCAGGGAAAACTTGACTTAGTCATGATACAATGATTCTGTAAAATCAACTGATTTCCCTCTATGATTGTTAATCAACCCTTCATAGAAATAAATTTCATTTATGTTGAAGACCCAAATATTATACTTAAAAATACACTTAAAACCCCTACTTTTAAAGTGTATTTACTTTGAATAAAATTAGTGGTACTTTAACAGAACTGAGCTGCTGCTGGAATAGTTTTCATAATTTCCATATATATTTTTCTTCATGGCCAGAAAACTTTCTTAAGAATACTGGACTGTGCATTTATCACAGAGCAATTACTAATGGATAAGTAATCACTGGTTTCGTAACATTTTGTGGAGATGTTTGCATCATGCAGGAACAAAGCACATAATTGTTTTTATGTCATGGCCAATTTAGGACTTATGGCAGGCCTGCCTGTTGACTGGGTGTCAGCATGAGCCCACAGGCTCCAGGAGAGGAACAGAGACCTGACAGAGGTCAGGCCCAGCCACCTCATTAAGAAACACAAACCAAGCCAAAATCTGCCCTTTACAAAAGCTTGCAGAAGTTCCCGCCAATCCTGTTGTCAGCAGCTCTGTTCTTGTCAGTTTTCAGTGTGTGTGGTTGAACAGAGAACACCGAGGGCAGCTGTGGCCTGCCAGACTGAAAACGCTTCTCCGAGGTCCTGCTCAGCTCCATACAGACAGCTTTGCTTCTGGCCCAGCGCTGGGACAGATCCCACAGATCCAACACTGCTTTTCTCCCTTGCAGGGGCAGCTGGTGACCAAGGATTACCCAGGCTATGCCCTGGCGGTGATCGGGCTGCTGGTGGCATCTTCCACCATGTGCATACCCCTGGGAGCACTAGTGACTTTTATAAGGAAGAGACTGAAGAGGGAACGGGTTTCAACTGTTGCATGAAAGCTGACAGCTGGATTTGGGAAGACCTTACCCCCGTCACCAGTGACTGGGCACTTCTGGAAGACAGCAGCAACCATTATTTGTAGCAGCTACTTATAGAGTTGAGAATGGTGGGTGCTATATTGACCAAAAAGTGCTCTTGGGAGGTTCCACAATGGTTTGGGGGGAAAAAAGCTCTTCTGTAACAAGATGAAGCTTTAAAGTAGCCTCTGTAAGAGGTGAGAAGGAGAGCAGCTCACAAAATGCTAGCTAGCACAAATTAACCAGCACATCAGCCCATTACACAGCATTAGGTGATTCTTTTCCACTGTTGTAGCACTTCCTGTGTGGAAACATGAACAACCAAGCATGTTCCTGCACCAATTTACCAGCAAATGCCCCCAAACCATTCAAGACACTTAAGCATACTCATTGTTTGAAATGACATCTGTATTTTGTAAACAGGTGAAACTGTTGGAAGTCTGGCAATGAGAATGTGACAATTGCTTTCCTACATGGGAGTAATCAGCAGGATGGCACTGGGAGATAAATGTGGCTAACATGGCTTCTTTTATACTTGTGTCCAGCAAAGCAGTGAATATATATATTTATATATGCATATATCTATATATATGCACACATATGTGTAAGCTGCACGAGTTGTTCCAACCTCCAGAAGTAAGCTTCCAGTTCCAGTATGCAACTGTGCAGTGTGCTGTACTTTGTATTTTCTAGGGATGTACTTTAAGTACACTAGAAGGTATCTGTGATAAAGCTGCTTTACAAGCCCCACCCAAACAAAAGTATGCCATATAATTAGCTTGACAAAGTTCATATCCAGGTATTCTTTAATCATCAGATACAGCAATCCAGCAGTTCCCATGGACTTGGTCAATTTCCCCGTGTAAATATTTCATAAAGAAAGCAACATTTAAATTGCAAGCTTCATGTAATAAAAAACATTAAAATTGTATCTATAAACTTTAGAAAATGTTGCTCTGAAGAACAGTATTAGAGACACACAGGACAGGGGTTCTTAATACAGTGTCTTGACTATGGAACCATTAGAAGATGGCAAGTGCCTTAGAAAAGAGGGATTAATTTCAAACCCTGCTGAAGCACAACACAAATCTCTTGTTCAGGGGCAAAAAGCAAGAGGAGTTGTACAGCCCCCAGGGGTGGGCAAAATCTCGACACTGACAACCAAGATCTGTGAAGTCTGGCAACAGCCTTAGAAACAGGACACACCTGCCTCCCTCCCCAAGCTTTGCTATCAAAGGAAATACATCTTTTCACATTTCATTTTATTAAAAAATGGATACCATAAACAAGACCTGTACAAAATAAACCTCAAATTGCCTCGAATATGGTAATTGCCCAGAAATTGCCCAGAATATGATGAGAAGTTATCGTCTTGGGCCTCCTCTTCCTCTTCCACGACCTCGGCCTCTGCCACGGCCTCTTCCACGGCCTCTTCCAGCAACTTGGCCGGTAAAAGAAAAAGGGTAAATAAAATGAGACTGAGGAATACTTTCTTCTTGATTAAAACATTTTGTATTGAGCATAATCACCACACTGCTTCCCTGTGATAAGGCATTAAGTTAGGTATTCAGTCTGTTAATGCTCAGTAAGTTTCAGGCAGTATTTTCATCTTTTGTGTTAGTTCTTCCAGTATACAACTTCCACAGACTACTGTCTGTCCTTGGCTTCACTGCAGAAAACAAGGGCACAAATAGTTGTCTGCTCCCCAATGCCTGTGTAATCTGACAGGAAACCAGGATTCCTTTTATATATATATATATATATGTATATACACACACACAGTCTTGTTTTTTAGAGAGAATTGCAAATTTTGACATGCTGTGAGATTCCCAAGCCCATCCTGTGTCAGGCACCCTGTGGAAGGTCAGCATTCTGAAGGGATCCCAGTATCTAACAGCTCCTACTGGTCTCAGTTTTGCCTCAGCCAATTGCAGATGTGATTCTAAGGCAAAGGTCTTGACTGTGTGCTCCCAGTTTTAATTACTGCTATTTAATTGTAAAGAGAAGACATAATCAGACGACAGTGCAGGCCACAAGCAACTCCTGAATGTCATATGATCCATAAAGTGATGACATGCCTTTGCATCTCCCTCTCCCAAAGGAATGCGACCCACCAGGTTGCAAGGACACTCTGCAAACTTCAGATTATTGGTTCATTTCAAACGTGTTTGTGAGTGCAGGGCTCAAAAAGATACTGGAAACTCTGCTGAAGTGGGTGGCTCTCTAAGAGACAACCACTGGCACCCATATTCAAGGAGCAAGCTGTGACAATTATTCTGGGACGTAGGTTAAAATTGCAGAAAAGACAGAAGGAGCAGAAACACAGGACAAATTTGACTTATGCAAGGTGTCATTATATTGCTGGTAATACACTGATCCTGTAAAATCCATGGAAGCATCAACCCCATCTGGAGGATGACAGCATCAGCAGGCAGCTGTGCTTACCAAGTGCCAGCACACCTGGACCAAGGTACATGTGGCACACACATCCCAGCCACTATCCTGCCCTTTCCTGACCACTTTTCCAGGACAGAATCAAGGGTTTTACACTTCTGAAGCCCAAGGGCATTTATGGATTAAGACAAAGCACAGCACAGCTTTGGTATGAGAGCACTTCCACACACTTTGGATGCAGAGAGCATCAAATGAAGGTAACTGGACTATCAGGGCTGCTTTCCCCAAAGCTGACACTAAGTAGGGATGTTCCTGTTCACACCATGTCATGAGGTTCGGGAAAAATGCAATCCAACCACACTCATTCCTCTGTGTGGTGAGATTGTTTTTAATGAACTTGAGAGGAACAAAGTCCCTTTGGGAGCTTTATCCTTATTCCCTATCAAGGCACCAGCTGCAGCACTCACACTTGGTGCTGCACAGCCGAGGTTCTTCACCAATGCAGAACACCCTGCATGCCCACACAGTTCAACACTTAATTACAGGAGAAATGGTACAACATGATTTTAGAGCACAATTAGCTTTCACTTACAGCTCACCGTTTTTAGAACACACAGATGAACTGGTGGGCAAACTATATACTGCTGCTGATTTCCTGGGGTTTACTGGAGTCTCATCTTCAACAGTGTGGATTAAACTTGAGTTACAGTCTGTACTGTTAGGCTTCTAAGGAGAAAGATTTTTCTTCAGCCGCACTTTGGAAAAAAATGTCCCACAAAGAGTAGAAGAGCTAAGACTGGAATACTACTAGGAGCCAAAGCTGGAGATGCGCTCACTGGAATACAGCCTCGATTCCCTCAGGTTCTCAAGTCTCTCAAATTCATAAAAACCATTTTTATCCCCCACCAAATTTCAGTGAACCATTCAACACCATTTGAGATACTGTCCTATACTTATTATCTGTGTGAAGCTCCCCATACAAACTGGGGAAACAGAGACATCTGGAGAAGAGGAAGTGTAAATGTCTTTGGGCACCAACTGTAAGACTCAGGTTAAGACTTATTCAAGCTGATAAACATTTACATTTTTAAAAATAGATGCATGAAAAGCCGCAATACAACTTCGTGCGAATGAAGCTCTGCAGATGCCCAGGAGATGGGCAAGGCAGACTGAGCCAGTGCCATGTCAAACCCTCAGCGATGAAGGAATTTGATGCCAAATGCAGATGTTGACAGATTCAAATCAGACACCCCGAGACTCACAGAACTAAAATGCACACAAAGGCAGAACAAACACAGACTAGGAAAGCACAAACTCACCTGCTTCTCTTTTCTTGGATTTGACTTTTGGTTCAACATCCACTAGCAAAGTATCCAGAGGCAAACTGTCCGGCAGAATGAAGTAGCGGATGTTGTTCCCTCGAATGCTCAGTGTCTCCAGCTGTACGGGCTCTCTGTTCTTCAGTGTCATTTTCACTGCTTTGAGATGTGTGTTCATACTGACATCCACTCCTGAAACAACACAAGCCTCATTTCAGGGATAAGGCCTCTTGTTGCCTGTTTTTAAGTACGCACATGAAATGACATTTATCCTGTTCGTCAACACCTGCTTCTACCACTCTTTAGCCTGTCACAGAATGAAACCACATCTCTTTTCTCTCTTGAATTATGGCAGTTACCATGAAAGGCCTTTAGCTCCTCATGGTAAGAGATCTTTATCCAGGTCCTGGCAATAGCTGCTTTGTAAATGATTAAAATAACTCCTCCAAACAACATATAAACTATGCTTATTACAGAAGGCGAATACTAATCTTTAGTCCTTTAAAAATAAGTAAAACAAATCTTGGAGGAGGAAATAACCTGGGTCATTTCCTTTTTCTGTAAGCCTTAGGAGACTCCAACCTCAAAAGCAACATTTACCTTCTGATAAAATACATTCAACGCCAGAGTGAATTCTCTATGAAAGTACATAAATACCCCACAACAAGAAACATCCACTGTGGTTACAAACTCTGAGAACAGCCAGTACATAAGAATTGTATGGAATTAGTACTGTGCACACTATGCTGTGTTATGCATAATTCCAAACTGGAAAAAACATCTCAGTTGGATGCATTTACTGTGTAACAGCTGTGAGAAGCAGTAAAAAAAAACCCCGAAGTTTTTATTTTGCATATCCAGAGCTTTAAGTGAGATCTGATCTCCAGCTATGAAGATCAAAATGACAGTGACTTTATTTTTCTGTCCTCTCTCCCCGCTCCAGATTTTACACAGCTCCAACCGACCCAGTCCCTTGGCTGGTGTGAGGGGCATTACACAAAACCTGCCCCTTCAACCCTGCTCCTGCCCTGGAGCTGGGAGGATGAGGATATTGTGCAATGTTTTTGTGGATTCTTAGCAGCAAATGAGAGAGGCTTTGCTCGACAATTAAGCCTGAAAGAGCAGCGAGGTCAGGAAACCAGCAGTGTTAGCTTCCCATCTGGCTGGGTTCAGCAGCGTGTGCTGCCACTGGGAACCAAGGTGGTTCACTCAGCTCCAATCAAAACTGATGGACCTGGCTGCAAATTAATGCCAGTTTTCTGGCACACAGATTGCTGCTGGCAAAAAAAAACCACCTCAGCAATCCTCTCGAATAAAATTCAAACTTAACAAGAGTTGTAACTTTTTCTTTTCCAAGAGTGCCTGGGCAGAAGAGCTTCTGAAAGCTGCCTGGGGGTGAGTTTAGGAAGGCAGATGCAGCAGCTTCCTCAGCTCAGCCGTTGTGTTTAATGCAGGTCTGCCTCATTAAACACAACGTGCCCCACCTGCATCCTTCCTGCTGTCTCCAAGCACAGCTCACAGAACACTCAGAACAACGTCCCTCACTGAGGTTATTAAAGCAAACAAAATCGCTTGCACATGTTTTAATACCTGAGAACTACATAATGAACCCTTCAGAATTCTCTGCAACTTTCAGCTCAGTGATAGGAAGAAGCACCTGGTAATCAGGAACTCCTAGGAACCCACAGGACAGACCTCTGGCAGCACGGGGAGAGCAGATTCTCTTGGCCAGGATTCCTCTTTGCCCCGTATCCCAAACCCGGCTCTGCCGCTTTCAAACCTGCCTCTCATGCAATCAAACATATGCAAATATGCATTTCCACCATCTGCCTTAACAAAAAACGTGTTCAACAGAAATAATTTACTTTATTTTTTAGTCTACATGCAAAATTAAACCAATTTAAGACCACATCAGCTGGAAAAGGCTGCCCAAAGAAGCTGTGGACACCACATCCCTGGCAGAGTTCCAGGCTGGATGGGGCTTTGAGCAACCTGGTCTACTGGAAGGTGTCCCTGTGCTTGGCAAGAGAGTTAGAACTGGATAATCTTTCACGTCCTTTCCAACCCAAACCATTTTGTGACCCTGTGACCGTGCTACTAAAATTCTAAGAGACTACCAAGCAAGGTTTGGAAGAGTTTGCTTCCTTCCCCCGAGCCTGCCTGCAGGTAAAGCTGCAGCTGGGCTCAGAGGCTCCCAGTAAAACCTTTAAAACAAAGAAATCTCAGTCCACCAGTAGTGGATGGACTCACCCACTACTAAACATCAAAGAGAATCCGTGACCCACTGAATTTCCCAAGTACTTTCGTGGCTGCCTATGAAGAGTGGCTGGCCAAAGCTCCCCACTGTTCCCAGCAACCCCCGACAATATTCAGACACTCCTGCAACACAAAGACACCTCGCCCTTGCACACAAAGCTCTGAGTTACAAAGCCCATCTCCTGCATTTCCCTGTGCTGGTCCCCGCAAGAGGGAGCACAGGACAAAAAACTCATCCAAGCCGCGGCTGTTAACTGTCTGCCGAAAGGCAGCGGGGCAGTATTTGCTGTATCCTGCCCTACCTGTGATCGTTCCATGCACCTGCGTCCCATTCTTCAGCTCAATGGTCACAGTCTCATGGCTCAGCTTCATTAGAAACCTGGGAATTAAAAACGCATTTTAAAAACTCCAAACCCGTTCACTTCCACACGAAGCCGTACGCGTTGGACAGGCAGCACCAAGCAGTTCGGCATCCTGAGCTCCCAAAGACGGCGCTCAGGGATTCTGCTGGTGATGTCCCGTGACACTCCACGTCCTGCCCAACCACCGGCAGCTGGGACGCCTGAGTGACACACTGCCGGATCCAGCATCCACTTCCAGGCGAAACGGCCATTATTGTACAAAGAGGGAACCATTTTACAAATCGTTACAATCCCGGGAAAGCAACGCTAACCCACTCCGCGGCGTTTCCCTCCAAAAATGAAAGGGGATGGGGGGGAGGGGGGTGCTTTGCCGAGCGACCCGTGCAGTCCCCGGGGCGGGAGCGGCCCGGCACAGGGGGGCCCCCGCCCGGCCCGGCCCGGCCCATCCCGGGCCGCTCCCGCCGGGCCCATCCCGGGTCGCTCCCGCTCCCGCCCGCGGTGGCGGGAGAGCGCGGGGCGGCCATGATTGCGTGGGCTCGCCCGGCGCTGCCGCCGCGGCCGGGCGCGGGCAATCCGCCTCCATCCGCCCCTGTCCGCGCCCACCCGCTCACCTGACGAGCTTCATGGCGGCGGGCGGGGAGCCCCGGGCGAGCGGAGAGCCCCGGGCGAGCGGAGAGCCCCGGGCACGGCGGGGCGGAGGCGCCTCTCGGATAGGCCGCGCGGGCCGCGCTCGCCGGGACGCTACCGCGACAGCGCCCCCTAGCGGCCCGGAGGACCCGCGGCGAGCGCCGAGCAGCGCCTGCTGCCGCCCCTGAGGGGAGAGCGCGGGGAAAAGGTGAGAGGATGGAAAAGAGGGATGGGGGAAAAAGAATGGGCATGGTGGGAAGGAGATACAAATAGAAGTGAGGGGACTTGGTCTATGAAAGCCTGGCTTTTTGTAAGGTTTGACAACTACCTTCCTTAAGCTTCCCTTCCTTAATTAAAAATAAATGTTAGAAAAGAAAAATCAAATAGTCTACTTCATTTTAAACCTGCTTTGAGCTTTACAAATAGGAAAAAAATCCAAGGCCTAGAACCTGTAAAGCACTAATTTATTGTGAAAAAAGTTACAGCTTCAGGATCCAGAACTGTAACAGCAAGAATTTTCACCTATGGGTATGGCCAATAAGGCACTGAAGTGCCCTTGTGAGGAAAGAGACAGAGAGCCATCGGCCCTGAGCAGAGGTGACACTGGGGATGCAGCACTGGAGCACTCCAGCCACAGGAGCTCCAGAGAGAGATCCAGCCAGGTCTGAGAGGAGTGAACATCTCACAGTGCAGACTGGATCGGGCACTGCCCCAGATCAGCCCTGTTTGAGTGATGGTCCCCACCTGCAACAGCGAGCACACACAAAACTGAAGCAGCCTTCAGGTATGAAACAGCTCCTAAAGAATGATTTGGGAACAGTCTGCTCCAAAGCACAAAATGCACTGCAGACAGCACATGTAGAAAAGCTGAACATTTTATTGTCTTTGAAGAGTAGTACACCATTTGTGATTTTAGAAATACAGACTCTTTGCAAAGCACTGAAACACAGGTGCCTTCCAACTTCCAACTTCTAAAACCTACATTATTCTAAGTCTTACAAACCTTTTATATTAGCAATTCAAGTTTGGTCTTTGCTGCAACAAGTTCTTTACCAAAGATGCACAACTCAAGGTCTAGGCTGCAAGACAACTGAGCCAAGTTTCAAACTCCACCTGCCATTGAGCCACCAGAACCATTGCTTTCAAATATTCAGTCTATGATGTTCTTGTACTTTGTGCCCATGAGGGAGTTCACTTTTGAAAATTTTAAGTTAGGAGGATTTCCCAGTTAGCCACCTACTGGTATTTTTCCATTACAGCATCTAGAAGCAAACTGATACCTTGCAAGTACTAGTGCTCATAAACAGGTTATGTTTACACAAAACCCAGAGAGGCCTCAAGAAACATTCAAGGTTAAAATGAACAGTTGCAAAAAGAAGAAAAAAAAAATCTGTACATATTTTCAGTCATGACACAAAGGAACACTGGAGTATCAGTGTTTTGTGTTCTAGCTTCAATAATGACACCTGTGCTAGCCCTAGTAGTATTCTACATGTTTGTCCCTTCCCCCCATTTAAATTTTATATTCGCAATCTGAATATACAGCTGTACTTACAGGAAATATTAAACAATGCACAGCGCCTTAAGCAAGTTCCATGTCTGGTTTTGAACAAACCATATAAAATAAGTGACAAAATAGTTTAAAATTGGTCCTTATTTTTATACAGCTTGGAAGCACTAAATTTAAAGACACACATTAACCAGCACAAATTAGTCTGCAGTTTTTTTCCTCCTTTTTTTTTTTTCTTAAAAGAGTGTGTTACAGTATCATGCATGAAAAGCAAGCTGCTGCTCCCAAGTAGAAATACGGAGTTTAGACTTACTGCTTTCTTCTCAGGCTGTTATTCCTTCTTTCATAAATTATTTCAACATAACCAAGGATAGAAGCAGCTGACTAGCAAAACAATATGAAGTTAATCTTTTATGTTGTGACCCATTCTTAAAGTAATGAAGTACTTTGGAACTTTAGCATAAGGAAGGTTGAATAAACACTGCAAAGGACTTTTACATTCTTTGATTTTGTTTACATCTTCAGAAAGAAAATTCTACATTTTAACTCACTAACTACTCGATTTTCATATGGAGACTGTAGTATTGAAACAGTGCAAGACATTTGCAACTTCAGGAACATCCAATTACACTGCCCTTTCACCCAAACAATGATTAGCAGAATATTGCATCAGTTCTAGATAAACAAGACAGGACAAAAACCTCATTTTAGAATAGCATTAGGATTCAAAAATCTTTCATATTTAGTGAAAAGAATCCACACACGAATATGCACGAAGGACTCCTTAACACAGACTTTATCACAACAAACGTAATCCAGCTGTAAATCTGGACCAAGACTTTTTATTGGTAAGAAGCCATATTTGTTCAGAGATCCCTATCAGATGTCCCATTAATAATGCTTCAACATTTGGGTATTCTGAGACACGAACAGCGTGAAAATTCTCTCCTGTCAAGGCCAAAAAACCAGCTGAAACAACCCAGGTGGAGCATGAGCTTCAGCAGTCCACTTAAGCTCCAAAGCATTCCAGAGCCAAAAAGCTGGCTTTTGTCTTTGCACTACCCCAGTAAGAGTGGAGCCCTGTCCACTAATGCAATATTCCAAAGACCATTGCAACTAAGACTGTCAAGTCAGGTCTCAGTTGAAAGCTACCTCCACCACAGGACACCATTTCCTTACCCCTGACCCCTCCCCCATTGCCAAGGAAGAATGTTCATAAGAGCATTTTTTGGTGTGGAAAGCAGGTCAGTAGAGACTCCAAGTGTGGCTTGAAGAATCCTCAGTACCAAGCCGCTTTCCACACACACAAATTCAGTCCATCTTCTCCTTCTGGACCAGCTTGGGTGCATCTACAAAATCCTTGCCATTGTAAAGGATGATAGCAAAAGTTCCAAAGCTGGCACTTCCCCAGAAAAGCACATAGGCCAGTGTCTCAGTCCATGTATCACCTGAGAAAGAGTCAGACAAAGCTTTTAGCTCATTATCTCCAATTAGCAGACAGTTTTACTTTAGGACAAATGCAAATATTTCAAGCTCTCCCTAAGAAATCTGTTGTCAAATGACATCAGAAGTCTTTCACAGATCTTCTGTTTCCTTGCCTTGGAATATTTGTATTTGCCACACAGTTCTTGGAACACATTGAACAGAGATCTGTGGAAGTCAGTCAAGAACTCTACTGGCAATAATGTAAAAAAATTCAAGGCAAAAGCAGGAGGTAAAAAACCTTCACCACTCCCAACACAGATTTAGATTAAAAGCAAATCCATCAGAATCAGGCTTATGCCTGTATCGGACAGCTCTGAATTCTTTCTGCCCAAAATTAGACAGGTATTTCTCTAGGGCTTCATCCAGCCTATGATAAAGCTACACAGGCCTACCAAGGTGCATCTAGATTTGGGGATAATTAACTGTCCCTTAATTGACTTCTACGTGAGTTTTAACATTGTATTCTACAGCACCTAAGATTTTTCCACACTAATGATACAGTGCTAAACCTCGATCTCCAGAGCCATGTTCAAGCACCTTTTAGAATGACAGAAAAGCAATTCTAAAGTGAACAGTTATTGTAACCATTTACACAAAGTTCACAGAGAAATAACCCAGTCTTATAAAAGTAAATTCAATAGTGACTTACCAGCCATTAGCAAACAAATAATGCACATTGAGAAAGCAACCACCATAATAATAGGCAACTGAGGAAAGAGAAACAGAATAATCACTTGATACACCAGTACATATGTTCCTTAATTTCCTTTAAGATGGGTTGTACTGTAAAGCTATTTACTTGCTTTGCTTCTCAATTCACCTGCATTCAGGTACAAATAAAAGTTTGGACAGTTCCAAAATTTGGAAGTCTGTATTCAATAATTATATTTAGAACTGAAATACACTTCCTGTGCATTAAATGAGAGGTTGAGGTTTATGCTTTGTTTTAAAAAAAAATAAACCAGTTAAACCCCATTATGTTCCCAAATGCCATTTCAAAATAGAAAGATAAGGTGAAAAAAATGAAAAAAAAAATGGGGGTTTTGTGTTACAGTCTATGCTCCTGCAAGAAGTGTGAGAAAAGTCCACAAGATTCTTCTGTAGAAGGAAACAGTTATTGATAGTGACTAGCAGAATTTCCCCCCTTCCACCTGGTGAAGCACATTTGAAAAAAAGCAACAGTTTTTCCAATACCTCAAGGACACTCCATTTTCTGTCAAGGGAACAGTCTGGGTTTAATCCTATAAGCAGGTGTTATAGAAACATTACCAGATTACATGGATGCTTCATCACTAACAGACAAGTCCTACTCAGGCATAATGAAGCCAGGGACTGAATTGTTGTGTCTCTTATTACAAATAAAGTCTCCATACTCACAGCTAAGAACTTCCAATCCTTTTTGACATGTAAAGGACTAGCAGGTTCTACTTCATCCACTGAATAATTTCCAAGAAAAAGATCAATCGCATCCTGGAAGAGAAAGGGAAGGCAAGGGTTCAAATGCACAGCAATGTTTATCAAATACATTTCCCCATGGTTAAAAGCTTTACTTACTTGTCTAAATCCATCAGAAAAGTTGTTTTTGTAGTAACGTATCAATGAGTTCCAGCCATCCATTATTAAGCCCCACTGAGTTCTCTTCCCAGTTCTGCAAAAATACATTGTGAAACATGTTTAAAATAGATGTATGAATTCAGGACTATAATTTCAGATTTACATTATCATTATCTGTCATTATCTGGATGTGTACTACCTTAAATGAACACCTGCATATGAATACATTTATCCAGTGCTGCCTCTGCATTATTACTACACATACTTGTAACAAAAGTGCAAATGAAATAACACTTCTTTCCATCAGACAATATAGATGTGCATCTTTATGGCACACCACCTTGGTTTTCATTTCCAGATAGCCTTTATTTTCATATAAACACAGCAAGGAATCTGGAGATGTTAGTCTGACTTTTTACCAACTGAACCATTGCAAAAAACTAATTTATAGCCTAAGTCCCAGATTAATAACCTTCTCAGATATGAGGACTTGAAGAAAATCCCAAACACATTCAAAAACCCAGAAGGCCCTTACAAGAAAGGCTGACTTGCCTTGTGT